TTCCTCTTTCCCTAGTCCTTTCTCACCTTCTTGCTTCTACTTCTCTCAAAATGCGATCGTTCCAAATATGATTCGGCTCTAACTTCCTTCCATTTACTAATTAGCCCTTAGACCCATATTATGTTATTCATTCCTTACCCTAACTAAACCTCATGAAAATTATCATTGTGCCCTCTATATTTCTATATATATTATCCCACTTAATTATTAATAAAATTCTAAACAATTATTCTTAAATCCAAATAGTTCCAACTAAATTATTTAAATTAAAAAATAATTATCATTATTATTTTAATCCAACTCTACCCCATACATAATATCATTAAACCACCTAATGAATCATATAAATCACAAAGACTCGCAAATATCACAACCAACTAATCAAATAATAAATTATAATTTTCGGGGTGTTACAAATCTAGCCCAGAAATAGAACTTCTAACGATTAGAAGTTTCTAATAAATCAAGCTCTGATAAGTAATAAAGATAATCTTATGCTTTAATCCGGCTCAGTTAAGATAATAATGCTCAGATATCCCTTACACTTCTAAATTTTGTTAAGACTTTAACTCAGGGGGGCTTGTTTATCTCATGGGGAGTTTTTCGAAACTCACTCTGATACTTTGTATGGTATTACCTTGTATAATTGTTTCATCAAAACACATGGTTTTGTCATCATCAAAAAGGGGGAGATTGTTAGAACAATATTTGGTTTTGCGTATAATCTCTAGTTTTGATGATAACAATACATATATTTTTCATGTAACAATTTTGTTATCTAATGATTTCTTGAGTGTGCATATATTAATACTCTATTTAGGTCTGGATAAGATCATTAGAATCTCTTCTAAAACGTCTCATATAGTACTATATATCCACTTCTAAAAGAAACATCAGCAGTTCTGAAGAATGTTGAATGTTCGCTAGAAAAGAATCTCCTAATGCTGGTCAAATAACAAGCCAAGATTGGAAACCATGCTAATGCTACAAAGATCAGAAATAAAGCTCATATATCAAAGATCAAAAATCAAGATATTGTGCTTCTCAGAAAATCTTTTGCTTATAGCTCAGAAATTAAGATTTGTTTGTCAGATAAGTCGTTGCTCCAAGTTTGAAGACAAGGTTCTGATTCTGAAGACTCTGATACTTTTGGGAACATTACAATGAAACGTCTTCTGCATTATTTATCATTCCTTATCAAGAAATACTCCATCCTAAGATTAAGAACAAAAATGTGATCTCTTCTACACTCTATTCACTACTTCAGATCAGAAGTATCTAATTAGAAGAAGAAAAGATCAGAAACTTGCACAAGAAGAATATAGTATAAAATTACTGTACCTATTTCATAATGGTGAAGGCTACGTTGTACGACCAAAGAAATTTGTCTCTATAATTTGATGCCACTGTTGTAGTAGTTGGCTAATGAAAATGATGTTTTGTACTATCCAACGGTCTACTTTCCTATCCTATATAAAAGAATCTAGCTCATTGAGTAAAAATAATGAACTAGAACGAACAGAAACAAAAACAGAAAAAATATTGAAACAAGAAAAGCTAATGTTCAAAGAAATTCAAGAGAGAAAATATTCAAGTGAAATTAAAAACACAAAGAGTTATTGCTCATATTTGTGTTAACTTCTACTCACCATAACACAAGAGTTTTTGCTCGTTATTGTGTTATTACTATTGTTGTATACACAAGAGTTGTTTGTCCCAAAGTGGGTTCAATATTCAACAATTCGCATATAATCTCAAAAGCCTTTATAAAACCCCCGGCCATTAGGGCGTAGCTGAATTGGAGCCACATTTAAAGCGGTGAGTAGATCGGCCTTGAAATCATAGAAGGGGATCTGGATCTTGAATTCATCGAGTACCCCGATACAAAAATAGAAGTATTCATCGTTCACGCCTCGGAAACGATAAAGGAAAACATCCTCACTATCCTCATAGGTTTATAAAACAAAATAATTGCATACGATATAGGGCTTATAAGCCTTACCCAAATATTTCAAGATTTGCTTTTAGTCACGGGCCTTGTTCATATGTATTTAACCTTCAACATTTTAAAGGAATATAAAATTGCTAGAGCTTGGACCTCCTCTGTTTTTAAATTGTCATAATCAAAACTAATCGTTGGTGTTAGGTGGTATGTCCAGTAAAATGGAAAGCGTCGAGTTCCATACATCGCGTACATAACCCTAGGGCACAATTTCTGCCCATAATGCAGATAAATCTATCCATAAAGCCTTTTTAATTTGAAGTAAAGGCCCGAAGGAAACTTCTACCAGGTGACCCTTGATAGAGATCCAACTACCCTTATCTACTACACCTCTCAACTCGAAAAAAGGAAAAAAAATAGTCCTAGAGTGGATTCATTATTCAGCACTTCACATATAATCTCAAAAGCCTTGATAAAACCCTACCATTAGAACATAGTTGAACTAGAGCCACATTCAAAGTAGTGGGTAGACCAGCCTCGAAATCAGAGAAGGGGATTTGGATTTTTAAGTTCTCGAGTAACCCAATGTAAAAATAGAAGTATTCTCGTCTGCGCCTCTGGAACGATAAAGTCAAACACCCTAACTCCCCTCACAAGTTTCTAAAATTACATCTTCTTCATTTCCAGTAGATGAAAGACTCATGCTAGAATTAAGCTTTCTAATGTCACTATAATCAACTAAGTTATGCTTATAGTCCAAAAATTTCAAGTCAACATAAGAGTTGTTCGTCTCCATTAGAACTTCTACAGAACCTGATGAATCAGATTCTGAGTCAGAATCAATATAAGACGAATAAATGTCTCCATAAACCTCCCTAATGATTTGGTCAAATTCGGCTCATTCCAAATGATGCTTGCAATCTCTCATGCATTGCGCCTACAACTCACTTCTCTCTAGGGAATTTTGGAGAACATGTACTCCCCAAATCGTCACACTCTCATATAAGCATCATGATCTAGAAAATAAAATAAGACGAAAGGAAAGGGAAAATAGAATTATTTGGGATTGAGGAAGACGAGAGTAAGTAGTTGAGGAAGGAAACTCATACTCCAAGAGAAAGCTTTCGAGAAGTAGAAACAAGAAGAAGATATGAGGTTTTAATAAAATCCTATTAAAGGCTAGAAGAGTAGCTGAAGGGATGTCATGATGATAATGTCTTTCCCATAAAAGCCATCATTACGCGGTATGGTGAAAAGACTCGATGGGACTTGCGCCCATCATGGCGTTTGAAAATCCACTAATACACGCTAGCCTCTGTTTGATCATTGGATTGTCGCATAACTGACTACCCAAGTCGCCTAAAGAAATTTAATAGCCTTCTTTTCCAAACACTTCGACCTGCTGTGCCTTGAGATCAGGAGGATTATGTACATGTTAAAAATCCTTGAGCCAACCTGAAAATCGGGTGTTATGAACGGGCTATGGATTAAGATAATCGATGTGCATTTGTATAAGCCGTGATGTGAGATCGGACCACGTCAAGGAGGTCCCCACCCGAAAGACTAGACGTATAAGTCAGAGGAGTTGAGGACATACTAGGCCGGATGGCTGGGATATCATCTAGATCTAACAGAAGTCTGAAGGGGTCGCATGAACGTTACATGAGGCGTTATGCCTCATGATTACGGCGACAGAGTTAAGACTTTGTCATTTATGAGGGAATGTGAGAAATCACCTCTTAAATGAGAGCAGGTCACAAGGACATGAGTATAAAAGTGATCCTCCCTGAAATGAAGGACAAGCATACATCACGTATCAGCAAGATGCAACGCATAAATACACTAAACAGTTGCAGTCTCACTGGATTAACTTTCGGGAAGTTATCTAAACGTGTTTTACAGGAACACATAATTTTCGCCACGTCAGCGTTGTTATAAATTTATAGTTGAAAGTTTCACTGCACGTATCATTGGGAGGTCGTATTTATTGAGGTACGGTGGCTAAACACCGAAGGAGACATCGCTAAAGAGAATAACGTGTGCACATCGGTTATGCAGCAGTTTCAAGACATGGCAACGACGACGACGTCACGCTAAAGAAAACAACGTGTGCACATCAGTTATGCAACGGTCTCAAGACATGACAGCAACGACGACGTCATGCAATGGTGGATAGATGGGTTAGGTGTGAGTCCCTTTCTGACGATCATAAGCCGGTGACCGTGATAGTGATGAAAAGTTCTCGCTCTATTTCTTTTTTTATGCTTTGCCGAAATAGTTTTGTTTATTAATCTGATGAATATTATTTCTATTGATTAAAATGGGTTCTTCTAATTTATTTTTTTGGGATTTGTTCACTTTGGTTTTCTGGTTTTTTTTAATGAAATCAGTGAAAGTACCGGAGAATGAATGGATAAGTTGAAGGATTTAAATTTTGCAGTTTTTCAAATTAAAATTTTTTTTAAAGAAAAAAATGATGAAGATGAAAATAACCCTTGATGAATATAATAATTTTTGTTTGATTTTTCATTTTTAAAAAAAAACTATCAAGTTTATTTAAAGTGTTGGGAGAATTTATCATTTTCATAAACTTAGTTGTTTTTTCTTCTTCATATGTGTACTACCCAACAAAACCAGAAAACAATATGTGTGATTGGTGGCACAAAAAGACATTTAGAAATAAGGGAGTATACTATAAATCGGTTCTGAAACAAAAAAATCACATTCATAACTAATAACCAAACAAGTTGAAAGTGTGATTCAAGTATGTTAAATGAGAGAGTTAAATGTGAAACCAAACACATACTAAGAAGTTGCATAGAGATTTGATGCAAAATTCAGCAACTTATGGAATATAAATTGAATTGAATCTCAAGTCTATCCTTTACAATTTGAATGACTACTCATTAAAAATACAAACTCAACACTAAAAAATACCAAAAGGCAAATAGAGGAGGGGATATTTCCATCGATCCGATCCCCTCCTACATCGATCCCTTCACACCTACAATTCTTCTCCTCTTTCCATTCTCTCAAAACTGATCGAATAACAACTGTTTCAAGCGCGTTTATTCCTCGCCGTTGCAGGTCTCTTACCAAAAGCAGATGACGATTTGGAGGAACTTGTCAGCAAGCCTCTTAGAGTAGCTAAAATACCCAAACACATGAAAGGGAAATACATTGTCAATAGTTTTTCAGATGCTTTCTTCGATCCCATCATTTCTGATAGTACAGCAACCTGCAATCCATAAACCACAAACAATCAAATGCACTTTACAAAGCCAATGCAGAGAGGTTACAGATCAGAAGAATAGTCTAAGAAATCCATGTAATAAATAAACCTGCTAATAGGTTCTAATTAAACTTTAAATCTAATCCAATCTACAATTTTGCATAACCCCAATTAAATTTTGTATCAAATTAAGAGATCAAACAAACTTGATAACCATTTAAACAGGATCTAACAACTTCATCTGCAAACACAACAACCTTAAAAAAAGGCCATTTTAATCCTAGTACAATCCAATAACAAAGCTTATATTTTCAAACCAAAATGCCAATACAACAAAACCATAAGGAGAATGAATCTAATCACAAGCAACATATTCCTACAAACAAAAGTAATGATGGCAAATGCATGAACAATAATCACCTTCCATTAAAAAGCTTGTATTTTTACCTAAAACCCATCAGAAAAATCATCAAAAATTTTCATTTTCTCTATTCTCCAACAACATATAGAATGACCCACATAGGTTTTTTTCAAAAAAAACGTAATGGGTTATTTGTAACATTAAAAAGTTTGAATTTTTACATAAAACCCATCATCAAAATCATCAAAATTTTCATTTTTTTTCTACTCTCCAACAACATATAGAATAACCCACATAGTTTTTTTCAAAGAAAAACGTAATGGGTTATTTATAACAGATTGAAAGGTAATAACTTGCATAAGAAAAAGGAATTACCATGGAAGTGGAGAGAGAAACACCATAGATCAAGCAAGTGGTATTAAACCAAGGCTTGGAATACAACATAGCAAAGATATTGATGATAGAAAGGGGCCATTGAAAGAGAAGCTCAAGCCAAACAAGACCAACGAAGAAATGTGGTTGTTCAGCAACAAGATAATCACCAAATTCATTAGCGTACCATGCTTTAACATCGACAAGAAAATCAGGGAAGTAAGAGAGAGGAAGACATGTTTGTGCATCTAATAATGGTGCAACGATTGCTATCAACACGAAGAATAGGAACAAGATCGCATCTACGAGCTTTAACACAAAACCCATTTTTTTTATTTTGTTTTGTTTCGCAGATTTGGAGAAGAATGAAATGAGAAAGAGGAATCTTTAACCCTTGAGATAATTAAATATGATGTTTACAATATATAAATAGTTGCTTAAAAAATTAGTAAAATAGTATAAGAGATTAAAGGTTAAAATAAATAATAATATTCATTTTTTTTAATTATTTGTCACAATCAATTTAACAATAATGTAGAAAGGAAATATTTTTTTGACTTTAAAATTATGAATCATGTGATGATCATGTCATTTCTTCCTTGATGTATAGATTTAAACATATAAGTTTTATGAAGTATAAATTTTTTTTAGGAATTTAAAGATAGTGTGCGGTTAGTGTAAAATAATTTTATATATATAATTAATCAAAAAATTTATATTTAAAATATTATTTTAATATTTTAAAAATAAAAATGAGATTGGTTATCATGTGTAATATACATTTAATTTTTCCTTATTTTTTAGATAAATATATAACAAACATAACATTTGTAAAATATACCAAAATGACAAAGCTTGTTTTCTAATTTAAACAAAAATTTACATAGATATGTAAATTAGGTAAAGTTTTAGATATAAATATCTAACAAACATAATATAATGTATACAATATAATAAAACGATAAATATTTTTTTTGGTTTAAACACATTTTTATTCTTCTTATTTTTAAGTTTTTTAAGTTTTAGATTCTTCATTTTAAGAATTAACTTTTTGATTCATAAACTTTATTTTATTTGAGATTTTATTAATCTCCTATAATTTTAGATATGTGGCGTACTTATTAATGACAAATCATTGTTACACTAACTCTCTATACTATGTGTTTGTCTAAGGTAAAATTAGTATAGTCGTGTCATATTATTAATAAGGGTGTCGTATAGACAAAATTAGAGGGATCAATAAAATCTCATTTCTTATTCTTCTTAGTGACTTTTGGAATCGACAATCTCATTTCCTTCTCATTCCTATAAAAAAAGGTAATGTTCAATATCAACAACACAACATGTAAAAATGAACCAAACACATTCTTCCATTACCAATTATTCCATTGAAGAATTTTGTTGTCCTTAGCACTCACTCACCCTTGACTTTTAGATTAAAACCCCACTTTTTGGGTCATTAGATGCACATAACGACAATCTTCATTGGATAAACCAACTTCAAACTTGTAAACGGTCGTTAACAACAAAAGAAAAACATAGGTTTCTTAAATGGACAAAGTCATGCAACAATCATGCTTCTAAAATGCAAATGGTCGTCAAAAAGAATTATGCACAGTGATAAGAAATATGGTTCAAATTCCACTCGGATATGAGATAAGAAAATACCTTCTGTTTTTTGGTTGAAGTAGCAGCGAAAGTTCTGCTGCAATTCTTTCAGAAACAGATATATCAGATATTAATGTAGTCTAAGTACAAAGTATGCTACATTGAGATCCATGCGTAAGCTTCAATCTCAGATTCTAAGATGTATTGAGGAATATTGAAGTTACAGTGAAACAAGCTTGCTTCCATTGAAGAAGCAAGAGGGAGAGGATGAAGATCTAACTGAAAACAGTTATGCATAACAAACTTGCAATAGTAAAGGCCAAGATTATTATTCACTGTATTGAATACAAAACAATGATACAAGAGTTTATATAATGTATTCTAACAACTAATCTAAGTTGTACAAGTGGCAGTCATCTAAGCTACATAGAAAGCAATAGTGTAGATAAAATATAGTGAGCTAATATCCCCCCTCAAGTTGGGTTGTGGATACTACAGAGCCCTAACTTGATCAAGATCCTAGAGAGAGCAGGAAAATGCAGAGGTTTTGTAAACATGTCTGCTAGTTGATGTGAAGTGGAGATAGGAAAGAGATGAAGTAGCTTAGACTGAATTTTCTCTCTGATTACATGACAGTCCAGTTCTATATGTTTGCTTCTTTCATGAAAAGCTGAATTATGTGCCAAGTAAATGGCAGATTTACTATCACAGAATACTGCAGCTGGCTGTGGAAGTTGAATTTGAAAATCTTGCAATATGTATTGTAACCATTGCAGTTCACATGACAAAGAGGCCAATGATCTATATTCAGGCTCAGTAGAAGACTTGGAAACAGTTTTCTGTTTCTTGGACTTCCAACAAACAAGAGAAGAACCAATGAGGATACAAAAACCTGTGACTGATCTTCTTGTGTCTGGGCATCTGGCCCAATCAGAGTCAGCAAAAGCAGAAATTTTGAGAGCACTTGAAGCAGAGTAAAAAAGACCCTTGGCTGGTACTGACTTGAGATATATGAGGATTCTAATTGCAGCCTGGTAATGAGGCATAAGAGGATTGGAAACATACTGACTGAGATGTTGAACTGCATAGGATATGTCAGGCCTGGAGTTGGTAAGATAGATTAATCTGCCAATTAATCTTCTGTAGATGGAGGGATCCTCTAATGGTTGTCCTTCAGTGATTGAGAGTTTGATTGTAGGATCAAATGGAACTGAAGATGGCTTAGAAGCTAGCAAGCCACTATCCTCAAGAAGCTCCAAGGTGTACTTCCTCTGATTAAGAAAAATACCATCAGTGGTTCTAGCAATCTCAAAACCAAGAAAGAACCTTAACTGACCAAGATCTTTGATTTTGAAAGACCGATGAAGTAACTGCTTGACATGAGAAATTTCTGATGTAGATGTACCTGCCAAGACAATATCATCTACATAGACCAACAAAGCAGTAAAATCAGATGATATAACTTTAACATAAAGAGAGTGATCAGCCTTGGATTGTTGATAGCCTATGGTGATAAGGAATGAAGAAAGTTTGGAATACCATTGCCTGCTGGCCTGTTTTAGACCATAAAGGGACTTATGCAATCTACAAACTTTAGAGGGATTAGAAGAAGGGAAGCCAGGAGGGAGAGTCATGTATACCTCCTCATGAAGATCTCCGTGAAGGAAGGCATTGTTCACATCTAGTTGCTCCAAATGCCAACCCTTGATGGCTGCTAAAGAAAGAAGGATCCTGACAGTAGCAAGATTAGCTACAGGGGAGAAAGTGTCAAAGTAGTCTATCCCTTCTAATTGAGTATACCCTTTTGCTACCAAACGAGCCTTATGCCTCTCAATGGTTCCATCATCCCTATATTTAACTTTATAAACCCATCTACAACCAATAGGATTTTTGCCATGAGGAAGGTCAACAACTTGCCATGTATTGTTCTCAGCAAGAGCCTGTAACTCAGTCTCCATGGCATGCTTCCAACAATCATGCTTTATGGCTTGGGTATAGGTCTTTGGTTCAATGTTAGAGGAGATGGAGCAACATAAATGTTTATATGATGGAGAACATTTGTCATATGAAATAACAGATGATAAAGGATGAGCAATATTATGTTCATGAGATTGAGATGCAAGTGTATCATGAGATGCAAGATAGCAATGACAGTCTGCTAAGTAACTAGGAGGATGAGTAATCCTGGTGGAGTGTCTTAAAGGTAAAGAGGGGGCAGAAGGTATATGTTGCGTAATAGAATCAGATGAGGTATTAGGTGAATTAGAAGATATAGGAATAGAGGAAGATCTGTTGGATAAGGCAGGGTTTTGATGTGAAGAATTATTGGTAGGTAAGGGAATGGATAAGGATCCAATGGTTAAAGGAGAAGAAGGAGTAGTAGGACTGATAGGGCTATGTAAAGTAGGAGATAAAGGTTGGATAGGGACAGAATGTGGGCTATCAGAAGAATCATTTATGAATGAAACAGACAAGTCAGTTGTACTACTTGGAGAAACTGTAACAGGTGTGTCATCATAATGTGAAAAAGGAGCAGTGTTGTCATTAGTATTAACTGAGGTATGTGGCTGTAAAGTGTGTTTGAAAGGGAATTGATGTTCATAAAAGATAACATTTCTTGACACAAACACATTATGGTTTTGTAAATCATAAAGGATGTATCCTTTAGTACCATCTTTAAAACCGATGAAAACAGATTTCCTGGCCCTAGGTGAGAATTTTGTTTGATGGGCTTGGAGAGTGGTAGCATAGCTAAGACAACCAAAAACTTTTAAGTGGATTAAAGAAGGAGGCTGAGAGGACAGTAATTCATATGGAGTTTTAGATTTTAAAAGAGGTGAAGGAAGTCTATTGATAACATGGATGGCATGTTGAACTGAAAAATTCCACATGGTGAGAGGGATGTTAGAGTGAAAATATAAGGACCTAGCAACATTAAGAATGTGCTGATGTTTCCTTTCAACCACCCCATTTTGTTGAGGTTTTTCAACACAAGTGGTTTGATGGATAATGCCCTTTGATAAGAAAAACTGAGACAAGGCCATAAACTCAGAACCATTATCAGACCTAAGACATTTAAGAGATGTTTTGAACTGATTTTCTATGTATGCCACAAATTGAATAAGACTGGTTTTAGTATGATCTTTGGTTTTTAAGAAGATCACCCAAGTATATCTACTATAATCATCAACCAATGTGAGAAAATATTTGTGACCTAGCATAGAAATTGTGGAATAGGGGCCCCATACATTAGCATGCAATATATCAAAAGGAGATAGAGAATGAGATTTACTATTTTGGAAAGGTAACTTCCTTTGTTTGCCAAAATGACATGAATCACATGGAACATTATTAGGTTTACATGGTATAAAAGGAAACAAATGAGAAATAGATTTCATGCCTGTAGTAGAAAGGTGGCCTAATCTTAGATGCCACAAATTACATGAATCAGAAGTAGTAGAAGTAGAATTAAAAACAGATGATTGGCTGGAAGAGTCCATGACATATAGAACTCTTTGAAGCCTAGTTGTACCAATCATTGCCTGTGAATGATTCTGCATTATGGTGCATACATCAGCCCCAAAATGTACAGAACAATCATTACTACTAGCTAGCTTGGCAATAGAGATAAGGTTAACATGAAAGTTTGGGATATAGAGAACATGGTGTAGTGTTAAGGATGGTGAAATGATAACACTACCAGACATACATGCAGTAAGAGATGAGCCATCAGGTAAATTGACATTGACAGGGACAATATTTTTGCAAGTAGTAAATGTATGAATTTCATATGAAATGTGGTCTGTTGCTCCAGTATCTAAGATCCAGAGATGAGATGACTTACCATTAGTGATGGAAGAGTGAGATGTCATGGCCAAAGGAGAGGTTGAAACAGAGTTGGCTTGGGATGAAAGCTTTGATTGTTGGAGCAATGCAAGGAGATTAGTGTACTGCTCTTAAGTGAACACACATGGAGAAGCCTTTGAATCCTTTGAAGATGAATCACATACAACATTAATGGTGACAGCCTGCTGATTTTTATTGTGAGGAATATGAGTCTTGCTCTTGTTCTTGAAACCTGGGGGATAACCATGTTTGAGAAAACATGTTTCCACTGTGTGATTGGTTCAACCACAATGTGTGCAAACACGATTGTGGCCTCTATGTGGTCCTGAAGGGTTTCCTTTGAGAGAACCATTTCCAGGTTTGAAGTTGGAATTGCCATAGTTAGCCTGAACTTGACAAGCAACATTCAATTCCTCAGGATTAGAGGATGCTTGAGCTAATGCAGAAACTGAGCTATTCAACTCACGTTCCTGTTGAATGATTAAAGAAAAAGCTTTGTCTAGGTCAGGCAAGGGACTCATCATCATAATCTGCGATTTAGAATGAGTAAATTTCTCATTCAATCCCTTCAAGAAACGAATCACTTGATCTTGGGCACGATACTGCTTGGCAGAAGCAACAACTCCACAAGAACAAGGAATAGCACAAGAGCAAGCAAGAATCGGCCTATAATTCTCAAGTTCATCCCATAAGACTTTCAACTGAGTAAAGTAATTAGTTACTTCATTGTTACCTTGACGAAGTTTGTAAATGTCCTCTTGTAGGTCAGATATGCGGAAGAGATCACTGTGTGAAAATCTGAGTTGGAGATTTTTCCAAACACCTGCAGCGCATTCGATCCATATAACAGATTTCGCAATAGACTCAGAAATTGAACGATGAATCCAAGCAAGAACCATTGTGTTGCAGCGAACCCAAGGAGCATAGAGTGGATCGGAAACCGGTGGTTTGCTGAGGGATCCATCAATGAACTTATCTTTATTCTTGGAGATTAGTGCAATTTGCATAGAACGAGCCCAGCTATGGTAGTTCTTGTCATCGAGGAGAGGCGAAACGAGCACCAATGCAGGATTTTCATTTGGATGAAGATAGAATGGATTGGTAGAATTCGTTGAGAAATCAAGAAATTGCTGGTACGCCATTGTTAATGGGGTTGTAGAAGGGATGAGAAAACGCAACAAGCAAAGACAACGCGAAGAAGAGAAAGAAACAAATTGCAAAGGAAGCGATGCAGATGAAGAAACAGGGAAAGAACACCAATAACAATGGCTACCAGAGCTTTGTGAGCTCTGATACCATATTGAAGTTACAGTGAAACAAGCTTACTTCCATTGAAGAAGCAAGAGGGAGAGGATGAAGATCTAACTGAAAACAGTTATGCATAACAAACTTGCAATAGTAAAGGCCAAGATTATTATTCACTGTATTGAATACAAAAGAATGATACAAGAGTTTATATAATGTATTCTAACAACTAATCTAAGTTGTACAAGTGGCAGTCATCTAAGCTACATAGAAAGCAATAGTGTAGATAAAATATAGTGAGCTAATAAGGAACTTGTGTAGTCTTACCACAACCACCTTTCACCTGAGATAACAATGACCTGTGAATTTTCATTATAAAAGGCGACATCAATATGAGGCTATTATCAGATACGGTGATAGGATGAAGCAATTATCCTATGTAATCAAGTTAAAACCGCATGAACCTCAAAGACAAGTAACATGCTCTTTATATTTGGCTAATTAAGTATTCATGTGCAATATCTATTATATGCCAATGTTAATTTGTTTACGCATAGTATGTAATAATCTCTGAGTATTTTAATCGGTATGTGGAATCTGGACCAATGGTGGGGTTATCATACAAGGCAGCACAACACTGTCTAATCCCGATATTAGAATTGCGAGAAGCTGGGAAAATTAGTGGTTATCACGAATGGAACACACCATATTATGGACAACGGTGTTAAAAGATAACGCAGGGGCTGCTGCTATTGCAGAGAAAGAGTCACTATTAGCTTGGTTCTCGGAAACAATACTGACATCGCCATGGAAGTCTCTTTCTGTAATTGGAACAACAACCTTTTCTTAAGTGTTTTATTTGAACTCTTGTTGTGGATGCGAGGGACAAAGCTAAAGGTCTTGTTTCTCAGGTTGATTTTGAAGTCATTTCACAGGGTTGTAGAAAAGTTCAAACATTCAGAAATTTCAGTATAAGGTTTGTAATATTTGCAAAGTATATTTACATAGTTTATGTTGTAATGATATCAGATGCAATTTTAACTATGGTATTGTTATTCAAAATTAGCACTTACTTCTTGGTCTTAATGTTTGAAACTTCTGCGTTACCGGTGTTTTCAGCAACATCTTGTCGCTCGAAGTTCTACACGAAAACACTATAGGAAGATCGTCTGTGCAGTTTCCAGTCTCGAGCAACTTATGAAATGGCAACATCAATATGAAGCTATTATCGGATACGGTATCAGGATGAAGCAATTATCTAATGTTATCAAGTTAAAATCGTATGAACCTTGAAGATAAGTAACATGATCTTTATATTTGGCTAATTAAGTATTCATGTGCAATATCTATTCCATACCAATGTTAATTTGTTTACGCATAATATGTAATAATCTCTGAGTATTTTAATCGGTATGTGACATCTGGACCCATGGTAGGGTCATCATACAAGAGCATTTGAGCACGGTCTAATCCCGATATTAGAATTACGAGAAGCACGGTCTACTGTTTTTGTTCAATGTTGGACATTTTTATAACATTTTTCTGCTCAGGCCCTATGTTATATCATATGCATGTGTAACACCCTTCTAAACCCCATATAATATTCATAATTATTTAAAATAATATCAGAGTAATACAACAAAAGGGCGTCACATTTTATTCGTGAAATAATCATACATGTTAGTCTTACTCCGTAACATGAGTTTTTAAAATTATTCATGACATATTCATTATCAAAGTTTCACATACTTGCAGCGGAATCATAGTTCAAACAAGTTCATTAAAACACTTCATAGTGTCCCATGATTCATGGTTCACAATTCAACCAAATTTAAACTCCATGGAAACAATTTAAATGTCATAACAAAACAAGAACAAAATAGTTTTCAAAACAAAGCGTTCCCGTCCCCGATGTTACATATCAGAGAAAGACCTTCTATACTCAGTGGAAATAAAACACATGCTCCAAGCTATTCTTCTAAGTCTTTAGGGACTATTCCTGATTACCTGCATGTTATCCACGTAGAGGCAACATTCAAGCAGAAAGGGTGAGTTCATCACAATCATTATATAAGATATAAGTAATTGACATAGCAGAATAAACCAAAAGTATTACAACATAAACTCGACATTGTTATATTCCAAGTACCTCAACAATCATACAAATTCAACAACACAATACAACATCATCAATTTAAGAACCATGCAATCCCACATAAGATGTAGTGCAAGGACATAGACTCATGCATGTGGTACCAATTCATTTGGTGGACACTGGGCCATCACCCTCCAAAGACCCCAATCATAGGATCGATTCCAACTTGGAACCGGAGAAAATCATAGACATCCCAAATCCACACAATGGGATTGAGACCAAATCACTGGACCAACGTCCTAAATCATCAAAATGGACCAAAGTTGTCCAATGAATGCATGATGCACAACAACAATATAAATGACCACAACTAGTCATACGCATCATCATTCATGTATTCATCAACCTCATCATATAAACCTCATCATATGTACTCATATAAGCAAATCATCATCATCATATCATCATATAAAACAGAATCATCATATTAACAACATATCATCATCATACTTCATTACCACGAAACATCATAGCGATTCAACACGGGGAAACTAATTCTATCATAACTTGAGTACTAGAATTATCCTTCTTATTCTTCATTTTACTCCTTATAAATATAGTTCATCGGGTTAGCTATCCAACGCTTCAAACGACACCTCAAACGGAGTCCAGAAACTCAAGTTACGGCCTTTAGAAAAAATCTGTCAAAATTGGATTGCTTGAGTCGACGCATAGGTATTCTGTCTGCCCCGGGTATGCTCAGGTCGACCCAATGAGTCGACGCATACTGAGTCTTGAACTTGCATGAGTCGATGCATGACCTTTTTGAGTCGACACATGTTCTTTTATGCTGATTGTTTTTGCGATTTCACTACCTTATAGGTCCTAAAACATCATCTAATCATAGGGATTCATCATCTATCAACAACTTAATATACTACATCAATTAGACAACATTTACAGGTCATTATTCATCACTAATCTATCAATTCTCCATCAAACAACATCGAATCACCATCTATGAAACCTAAGGCAAACCATACCTCAATCTACCACTTAAATCAAATATAATAATCATATAAACACCCCTTACCTTATTGTTTCGAGTGATTGATTATGTTCTTCGTGCCTCTTACGATGATTCTCTCCAAATTCTTCGTGCCCTAGCCTCTCTTCTCCAACTTTCACGATTGATTGTGATAATAACAACTATCTCTTCTCTGTTATCACAAAGGACCCCTAATATCTTCCTCAATTTCCCTCACTTAGTCAATCTCTATTTACCATCACGTCCTCACTCTTCCTACTAATTACCAACACACCACTCTAATTAAAATAACCCTTTAAATAATTATTCCTATTATTATATTCTCAATAACAATCCAAATAATTACTAAATAATTATTTAACCATTCTAATACTTCTAATCATCATAATTCACATCATGCATAACCTCATACCAGCACATCACACTATAATCATATAAAACATCAATTATTCACAAATACTCCTAATAATTAATTAAATAAACAACTTCTAAAAATTGGGGTGTTACAACTCTCCCCCACTTAAAGAATTTTCGCCCTCGAAAATTATCTAAGGAAAATAGAGTTGGGTACGACTCCTTCATCTGATCCTCATGCTCTCAAGTCAAACTTTCACCGGCTGATCCACCCCACAACACCTTTACTAAGGCAATATCCTTACCTCTCAATTTCTTCACTTTATGACCTTATATTCTCAATGGTAATGCTTCAACAGTCCGATTATCTCTCACATGTACATCATCCATCTGAATTACATGTGAGGGATCCAGAATGTACTTTCTCAACTGAGATACATGAAACACATCATGAAGATTCGTAAGTGATGGAGGTAAAGTAATTTGATAGGCTACCTCACCTATATTCTTAGGAATCTTATATGGACCAATGAAACGCGGCGTAAGCTTCCTTGATTTCAGAGGCCTACCAACACCTGTTACCGGAGTAACTCTCAAAAACACATGATCATCTTTCTGAAATTCCAAGGCCTTCCTTCTCTTATCATGATAGCTTTTATGATGACTCTGAGAAGCCTTCATTCTCTCTTGGATCATCTTAATCTTATTAGTTGTTTCTCGCACAATCTCGGGTCTGAGTATAACACTCTCTCCTGACTCATACTAACACAATAGAGTTCTACACCTCCTACCATACAATGCTCCGTACGGTGCCATTCCAATACTTGAATGGAAACTATTATTGTATGTAAATTAAATTAACAACAAGTGACTATCCCAAGATCCTCCTTGTTCTAGCACACAAACCCTCAGCAAATCCTCCAAAGACTGGATATTCCTCTCTGTTTAATCGTCTGTATGCAGATGATATGCAGAACTCAAATTCAACTTGGTACCGAAAGCATTCTACAAACTTGTCCAGAATTTCGATGTAAACCTCTGGTCTCTATTCAACACGATACTCGAAGGTATCCCATGCAACTTTACAATCTCATCAACATACATCTTAGCCAACTTTTCTATAGGATGATGGATCTTCATCAGTAAGAAATGAACCGACTTAGTCAACCTATCCACTATTACCCAAATTTAATCATCACCTCTATCAGTCTTCGGTAACCCCGACAAGAAATCCATAAAAACAATTTCCCATTTCCACTCTGGAATACTCAAAGGTTGCATAAGACAAGTAGGCTTATGATGTTCAATCTTCGACTTCTGGCAAGTCAAGAAAGCATACACAAGCTTAGCAATTTATTTCTTCATACATGGCCACCAAAACATTTTATTTAAATCCTGATACATATTCGTAGCTCCTGGGTGAATACTCAAATCGCTTTGATTCCCTTCCTCAAGAATGTTCTTCTTAAGTTTTGGAATATCAGGAACACTACCCTATCACCAAGTCTCACCACACCATTCTTATCCATTCGGAATTCACCTCAGTTGCCTTGCTTAATCAATGTTAGTCGATCCACCAAATTCAAATCAACTTCTGACCTTCTCGGATCTCTTCAAGAATCCCACTAGTCAGTTTCAACATTCCCATCTTCACACTGTTGGATGTCTCTTTGATTACCAAGCTCATATCTCTAAATTGTTCGATCATCTCTAACTCTCGAACCATAAGCATTGACATATGTAAAGATTTCCTACTTAAAGCATCAACTACTACATTTGCTTTACCAGGATGGTAACTCAAATCAAAATCATAATCCTTCAACAATTCGAGCCATCTTCCATGCCTCATGTTTAACTCCTCCTGGTCAAATAATCATTTTAAACTCTTATGATCACTGAACACTTCAAATTTAGAGCCAAAAAGATAATGTCTCCAAATTTTTAGCACGAACACCACACCTGCCAATTCTAAGTCATGCGTAGGATAGTTCCTCTCATGAACTTTGAGTTGTCTAGAAGCACAAGCAACAACTTGTCCATTCAGCATTAGCACACCACTAAGTCCCATCTTAGACGTATTCATAATACACTACAAATGACTCACTCAGATTAGGCAAAACAAATACCGGAGTAGCCGTCAATCTTTTCTTTAGTTCTATAAAACTTTCTTCACATGAAACATCCCATACTTGAAATGATGAACGACTATCCTTTTGATAGAACATCAATCACTTTACACACCATCAAGCTAATAAGACAAGTCTATCCCGTCCAACATGATCCCGTCTACTATCAACAAGAGATTAAGAATGATCAGTTCCTCAATTTGTCAATAGGTAGCCGACAATCATGATGGCGCATAAACCATCGTTACTATACTTGAATAGTGTTTCTTTAGAAATTATTCTCAAAGTTACCTAAAGCACCATGGTACAATTAATCTCTCATCAAACCATGATCTACACCTTGACAACTTAACATAAAGTCTCTTCCTTTCCAACATTGTAATTCAAATCACAATGTTCGACATTCCCTTATTCTTACTTAGAATAACTCATAATGTCCTCAATAAAAACCGCAACAAACTAACCCAAATATTTGTAATGCCTACACAATTTCTAAAATTTGTCCCCTAACTATCCTCACCCTTCATCCAAATCTGAAGGTAACCCTCCTTAACTCGATTATACTGTAGATATACTCACCTAACATTTGCTTCATCAAATCGTCAATCCTTTTGAAGTGGATATTTAATCTCAATCATTACCTTACTCAATGGTCGGTAATCCACACACT